CCACCGAGTTGGGGGGAGGGGTGGGTGGCGCGTGGCACCAAGTGGAGATACGCCCCACTAGGAGCCGTGCCCTCCAAGAGCATTACGGACACGGCATTCATTTATTCATTTATTTGTGTGACTTTTTTCCAATTCTGCAGCTCACCTCTTCATGCCTGACGGCAGCAGCACTGGTTGGGAAACGATGAAATAGATTTCCAAGTGTGTGTTTTTTATTTGTTGCTGTTCTATTTATTCTGATCCCTAGGAGCCATTTTGGAAATTAAATTCTTTGGTATTTTACTCAGCGTGGTACTTTTCTGACACAGACCACATTTATTCAGGCAGCAGCATCTAATTATTTAACCAAAATTCATAAGCAGTTCTTTCTTCCAAACTGTACTGATGTCAACTTTATCATTTTCCACCTGCTGTAATTAATTATAAATTCAGTAACAAACTTCACAAATGTGATACTAGTTTGGATAATGCTGGACATGCAATACAGTTCAATTAGTCTGACCTATCCTACCCCCTGAAAAATATCCTGAAGACTGAAATATCTGCCCTATTCATGGACTACCCTATTAGCATGGGTAGTCTAGAGGATCTTAGCTGCAGAATAAATTTTAAGAGCTTCCAATAACTTTTTTCCTCAATTGTTTGCAAAGCTCATGTAATTATTTATACAGTGCGTTGTTTTTTCCTCAGAGAGAAATTCCTCAGTGCTCTATTATTAACTGCAGTAAAATACCAGCAGGCCGGATTTTGAGATCAATCCTACAACGGCAAAATATTATAGGTTCTGTTATGTTTGTGGCTTTGGTTCCTGGATGTATGTGAAATGAGGGACAACAAGGCAGCTGGGGAGCTGGAAGCATTGCACTGGCAGAGGTGTAGAGCAGACAAATAAAGTACCTCTTGTGGAAAACTATCCTCTGGTGTAGGACACCTAACTGCTTCCCCTGAGGCTTAAAATGAGGAGCAGACATTTGAAACATAGTTGCCAAGGTCTTGATTCAAAGTCCAGTGAAGTCATAGCTGCCTTAGCTGGCAAATTCTCATGGTGAAAAAGATAAGCAACATCATAAATGACACTTTGTCTTAGCTGCCTTCCTTCAGAACAAGGAAAGGTTGTCCTCATATTTGTTCATAATAGGCGTGACCCTCATCTATGAGGATCAGATCCAATTTCTTCCAAATGCTGAAAACAGTCACACTGCATGTTGCAGAGGCTGGGAGTGAGGGAATTCAGATTCAGCATTGCAGTGCTGCACTAAGCAGGAAGCCAGTGGTAAGAACAGTTTTTGGGGGGTTTTTTAACATAAACATCAATGACAGCCATGTGAAACCTCTCAGAATGAAATCTACAAGAAGACAAAACTGGATGCGCTTCTGGCAAAACCCCAGAGAACAACACAGAATACATGAAGGTGCTGCAGCTGGCACGGTTACTTTACTGTATAGATTGGTGTGGTCTGAGAGTCAGAAGACTTGGAATGTCCCCAACTCTTCCACTGATCAGTTATGTGACCTTGGATAGATCTCTCTAACTCTTGCCATCTACATTTTCACTCTCACCTTTTTGTCCATCTTGCCTATTTAAACTGTAACCTTTTTAAGACAGCTCTTGCTTTAACATGTGCTTGTGTTGAACTCCCCAGCATAGTGAGAGCATACTGCTAGGTGGGACTTTGGGGCACTAACACAATACCAAACAGGAAGTTGTTCACTTCAGAAATTCACCAAATGGCTTTGTGGTTCTTTAACATGCATTCCAGAAAGCCTCTGCTGAGGCTTAAGCAAAATTAAGTGCTGATGCAAAAACGAGGCAACCACTCCCACTCTACCCACAACAAGACAACACTCCAACACAGCTGTCATGGCCTGTCCTATTCACCATTTAGGATAACCTGCCCCTTTTGAGGATGCATTCTACCATAACACCGACATTCCACCAAGATACCAAAATATCCAACACCATCTTGTTTGGGAGTTCCTGACTCCTGTTCCTGCACTCCAGATTATATACCTCATCTGCTTTCTTTCTCTTGCATTTATATATTTCTTTTCATTCCAACAATTTATCTGGCCATATCCAAATACATTCTGTATAGGAACCATTTCAGTTGCCATCAAAATCAAGCTACCCCTGGGACTGAATAAACAGTAAATTTACCACTAATGCAATGACAACACACAATGGTTCAGGGAAGGAAACTGCAAGGATGTGAGAAGTTAAATTTCTCTTTGTATAGTATAATAGAACATTTAATATAGGGGTTTCCAAGTGTAGTCTCTGAGTTACTTTTGTCCCATGTAACATTTCTGTGCAGCCCACAAGAAGACTTTTCAGTGGCAGCTCCCAATGTTACATCTACCAAATGTAAAGATACTGCACTACAGATTGATTTTATCATGTGGCACCCCAGCATGATATCTAGCCCACTAAATTACTCCCCATGTGTGTGTGTGTGTGTGTGTTATACACTCAATATATAAGTAAGCTTCATCTTGGAAGATGAGTAACATCGTTTCTCACAGTGAAAATATTTCAAAAGGAGTACCATAAAATCTGTTTTTTATGGTGAAATTCTATTTCTTATTTTCTTCCAAACACTCCAGGTGTTTGCAGTTGAGGAACTAGATCATTGATTTTCAATCAGGACACTATGGCACCTTGGGGTGCCTTGATATCCCTTCAAGAGTGCTATGGGATGCCACATAATGCTAGCATTGTTACATGTGCAAATGTGATTCACAAGATAAACCCAGGAATTTCAAATAGGAATCCATGGTGTCAAAAACATTCAGAGGTGGTGTGGTCTTTCTGAGTTATTTGCAACAGAAATTCCATTTTCTGAGGGGTGCCTTGAGTCTAAAAAGATTGAGAATCAATCACTGCAGTAGATCCTCAGTGGGTATAAGTTGGCATAGTTTCATTATGATTATTGTTTCATTATTAGGAATTATGTTGTGGTTGTAGACATTCCACTGTCCCGCCTTCCAAAGATTTAGTGATGCTTGCCTAGTCATGTGGTTATTTGCGTTCCACCAGTGTGAAATTTGCAGATATACATTTGCTACAAAGTATGTAATTGATTAGAGCCATGGTTGAAGAAATGTTTTGTTTCTGGATGGAATAAATAACTACTAGAGCTTTGGGAGTTCGGCAACATGCAAAGCTTTTCATGTTTCACTACATCCCTCTTTCAGCTCTCACTAGATTTTTCCGAGGGAGATAAAATGCAAACATTTAAGTCTACCCAGGACATCTCCAGCCTGTTTCTTAAGGCCTGGAGGAGGGCGTAAGGAAGCAGAAATAGGTACAGGTACAAAAACTGCGGGAATACCTCTTGGAGCTGTAACACATACCTATCTTTGTAGCTATAAAATTAATATAAGCAATAAATGCCCTTAGGTAACTTTTATTTTTTGATGAGTACAGAATGATAGTATAGAAAGAGGCAAAAACTAAGTGTATTCCTCTTGATAACCTGTCCCAGTTAAGTTCAATTGCAAATGAAAGTCTCCCCACACATCAGAGTATAACCGCATTCCCCACCTATTCTAGAATACCTTTCTTCCAGCCTCATTGTTGTGCAAGTTCATCAGCCTCCGTGCATTCTTTTTGATTTCTCGGGCATCAACAAACCTCCTGGAGAACTCGATGCCGTATCTGATATCCGCAGAGCAGCCTCCCCATTTCCAGCCCTCCTCCTGGTTGTAGTAGCCCTGTTTTTCTCGGTCACAGCCACAGTTGCTGAGATTGCCCTGGCTGCAGGCGGCAGTGACAGCATGCGCAACCCCGGCAGCAGTAATGGCATAGGTGAACGCGGCTTCCCTGCTTCCTGTGGAGAGAAGCCAAAAGCTGATGGATCTGGAGAAAGTCAGTGTTTTACTAGTAAGTGCATACAGCATGTACAGTAATGCATTCTTTTAAGCACATCATGGAGAACCATTGATAGCTCAAACATTTCCTTTTTAAAAAGTTACGCATCTGTTTAACCATTTTGGTGCTCATGGCCGTCTGGTAAACCCAACTTTTATAATAATCCTGTCTGCCAACTGTAGACTGAGGTGCTTTTTGCCAGTGGACTAGTCAGTAAGATATGTAGGATATATTTTGCATTGCATCCATGCTGCACCAAGCACCATCTCCATGAAGCATTTCTCTCCTGTTTGCTCAGCACATCCCAAATACCAGGAAAGAGAGGTGCAAACATCTTAGAAACAGACCTGAGTGTTCACCAGGAAGTACACCAGAGACAGAGAGCTTCAGAGCAGCACTGGGGCCTGTACTCTAACCCAAGTAAACTACTTCATTTGGAGATTTTGCACCAGGCTGAGGGAGAGTAAGTGCCACAGTAGAAGAATAATGATTAAGAATTCACAGCAAATTACTGAAGTACCTTAGCACCTGCCCACAAACTTTAGGTTGTTGTTATCTAATAGGCCCAACAGATACAAAGCAAAGCAAATCATCTAGGAGGGAAAAAAATCACCTTGCTAGCTCCGATAATTTTAGGATTTACAGCTGTCATTACTGTTCCAGAATAGGGCATGTACTTTGCATTAATTTTGTTCTATGTTTATTCAGTCATATAAATTATTTTTGTCAAATTCTGAACTGAAGAAAGCACAACCAACCTCTCTTACTTCTAAAAGATTGTGCACAGAATTGTTCAGAAGGGGATCCTAAATTTGTTTTGGCCCCCTTTTGTTGTATTTGTTTGTTCAATGTAAGAAAAAAATGACCTTTTTTATTTTTAGTTAAGTTTGTCTTTTTTTAACATTGCCAAGTCTGCATTCAACAGAAATAGAGAGAAGAGCCAGTCTTCTCTACTCTCCTTGCCCAGTCTCTCCATAATTAATAAGTACTATGGAGGGAAATGTGACCCTCCAAAATTGCAATTACATTCTTGTGGCCCTATGTAAGTAATACATGCCAGGCAAGGATGATGGGGTTTTTTATGTGCTGCAAAAGCTAAAAAACACTTGTACAAGTTCTTATACTATTGTTATTTGAACACATCATGCAAAGGAAGGACTGATTTGGCTGAGTGTGAATGTAGTATATTTGTTTGTATGTCCTGATCTTACAAAATGCATATACCGATGTTCACTCCCTTGGTTGAGATCAGAGCCATGTGCTGTATTTGAGAGCATGTTTTACTAACCCAAGGTATTTCTTTCTTGCATGTTCCTTTAAGAAATCTATGTTTCATCTTTAAACTAGAAGAACCCTGAAATATTCTATTTTTAACTGAATATTACAAAAGTTCAAATTCTTATTGTCTTCAGAATCAGGATAAGAGAAAATAAACCTCTAAGTTTATTTCAGGAATTACAACCAAGTAGATTATGGGGATGTCCCTGCCTTATAAAAACAAATGTGGAAGATTTGAGTCCTCTTGTATGATACTTAACCACTCTACTTTTATTATTATTATTATTTATTAATTATATGGCACTGGCACATAGAAATCTGAAGTCAAAACACTTATCATACTAGTACCATGCAAACATATCATGCAAGCCAATATGTAAAGTCAGCTAGGGAGTATATTAGATAGGAAGAGAAGAAACAGGAGGAGTTTGTGTTAACAGAAGCAGGAGAGTGGGGAAAGGAAGGACACTATTAAGGAAGGAGAGAATGGGCACGTCTACATGTCACCGTACAGTGACATTGCTATGGCGCTGTGCTTTAGTACTTCCTTTTGGAAGTACTAAAGCACAGTTCAGTAACCACCTCTACTGCGCTGTGCGCATGGTGCACAGTTAGATTTCACCATTACGTCACCATAGCGGCACACTAAAATGGGGGGAGGGGGTGGTGCGCTATTACAGCGACGTAACTGCTGATCAGATGTAGACTCACATGATCACTACATCGCTGTAGTGCATCACTACGGTTAAGTAGGATGATTTGTAGATGCACCCAATCATCTAGAAGCACTTAATGGAGCACAAGAACTTGGCTGTCTGGAGAATCTGTCATAATAAGGTTTGTCAGGTGCTTAGGCTCTATGGAAATAAGTATTTTAGAAACACCAATTAATAAATATTTCTTTCAAGTAGTGTAAAAGTATTGTAGCCTCTACAGTCCATTATATTTACCAAGTGATAGACTATCAGAGGTTTTTTATTATTGTTATTTTTAGTTTCAGTATCTCCCATGTGTATCCCAAGCAGCTAATCCAAGATTGACTAATTTTACTGGCTAAATAGTACTCATAGTCATAGGACTCATAGTCTCATATTTCAATTTATATTATATCTGTAATAGTCTGCATTGTGACATCCCTTATTTATTTGGCCCATGAGAACACCGATTTTTTTAAAGATATGTGGAATACAGGCAACCTTCACTTAACTCTGTTTCACTTAGTGCTATAACGCTCATTTTAAATTGATACTTGATTTCACTTAGCACTCACTGAGTTTTGTTATAATGCTCATTGTCACCGTCTTGGGTCATTAAAAACAATTGCGGTCAGCATCTTGGGTCATCCAATACTTTCAGTTTTGCTTAACACTCATTTTGCTTAACGCTAGTTTTTTCAGGAACCAATTAAGAGCGCTAAGCGGGGTTTGCCTGCATCCTTATCTAGTTGGTCAGAAAAATAGTTGCCTAGTTAGTAATTCTGAAACAGTTAAACATGAATCCCTGTACACATAGCTGATTGATCAAAATATATATTTAGTGTCATTGATCTGTCCAGGAGTCTTCATAAGGCACCAGTCCTCAGGCAGGTTTGCTCTTGTAAACTGAAAGAGAGTCTATATTCTCTTCATTATACCCTTGATTACCTTTAAGAAGAGATGAAATTGTACCCACTGGACAACTGAAGCAATAATAAAATGAACTCCAATTAGTAAAATACCCAATGTGAGCCCCAACACTTAGCTGTCAGAGCCATCTTTTTACTTCAGTGCAATTCTAAAAGAGAAAGCACTCAGAAATCTGATCTGGATTGTAAAGTGTACCCCTTTAGCAAATTAAGCAATCTTGTGTATCCACTGAACCTGCAGAAAATGAGATTTTTGAAACAGAAGAGATTAATTTTATCTTGAGCACTAATCTAAGGCAGTATGTTAACTATTTCATCAGCTCTTAAGGGAAACAAATTTTGATCATAAAATGTTGAGTAAGGAAAAAACTGGAACAAACCTATGGCTTCTCCTGTTTAGTACCACTTTGCTTAGGCCTACATCATGACCTTCCTTAATTATTCCTTAATTATACTGTAAGTCAATCCAGTCACACACACAGCTTAAATAATGCTTGATAACCAGTAACATAATTAGGGGTGAGTAAGCAAAAAACTCTCCCAAGGAAGGCTGTGCTGTTTCAGCAGTAGCAGCCCTACACCACTGCTGTAGCAGCAGTTGGGTGCAGAGATGCTGCACTGCTACTATAGCAGTAGCAGCAACAATGGGGTGGGTGGACCATGTGGCAGGAGCATTTGGGGTCCCCTGGCAGGTAAGACTGATTCCCCTCCTCTGCTACCCCTCCCTACTCCCCAGCCATGTTTTACCCAAGGTACAAAAGTTGCTAGTTTTAACTCTATTGATAATTAGAGTTGAGTGGGGAACAGCTTTCCTGTCCCATAAAACTTCTTGGGGCCTAGTGCGCTGGAGGGTAGGGGTTTAAATTCCCTCCCTGGCCCACACGGGACTCCAGGCTGGGTCTGTGGTGGCAGCAGGGAGGGCAATGCCTGCCAGGCTTCTTCCCCCCACCCCTTGCTTGAGGGAGGGGTGGCAGCCGCTGCCAAACTGAGGGGGTGGAGGGGAGATATTGGTATTGAATTCATAAAAGTTTGAACAAGAATAGTCCTTCCTGTGAGGTGAGCATATATTGAACACAGCACTTTGTAACCTCAAGCACATGACAAAAAAAACAAAACCTTTGCCTAAATTGAGATAAAGCCCAGTGAAACACACTGAGAGCACACACAATTTAGTCTAACTTAAAATAGAAGGTAATAAACCAAAAAGACAAGAAAAAGCCTAGAACAAGTCTTACATAATCCAGAAAGGCAGTGTCTCCTTACAATTCCTAATTTAATTCTAAGAACAAATGTACATATAAATTGAGTGGTCTGACAGTTATACTAGTCTAGTCATGGTAGTTTAGTCAGGCTAGCCCATAAGTGCAACCTAAAATTAAATGTACCTCTTTAGTTGAAGGCAACTGAGGAAAGTAACACCCTGAAACTTGTTGTATGATTTCCATGCTGGGTCACTGTCAGTATTTTTGAGGTCATCATTTACATTCTAATTGCAGATTTTTTTAATAAGTGTGCTAATGCCCAGTAATGCGAGCTGTTTCTGATCAGACACACAGATGTTGGACTAGTGTTTTCCACAGCAGGCTATTTCTGTCAGGGAGCAGTCTATTTATTCAGTGTTGGAATCTTGGATTAGCCTATAGCCCACCCCTAATTTATATGTCATCTCTGACTAACTTTTAGACTGCTAACATAGCACTAAGCTTAGTATGGTCTGTTGTGGAAATTATTACAAGTTCCATAATTGCTATAGTTTACTACATTTTAATGTACATGTGCATTGCAGCATATTTTCAGGCAATAACCACACTCAGCAGAGGCTCATGTACACTAAATATATATTTTGATCAATTGACTATGGGTACAGGGTTTCATCTTTAACTGTTTCAGAGTTACTAACTAGGCATCTGTTTTCCTGACCAGCTAGATGAGGATATTGTAATTCCGTGCATCATTCAGAAATGTGTGTTATCATGGGCCAAATAAATAAGGCATGCCATAAATGTAGGCTAATGCAGCTATAATTTAACTTGAAATATTAGACCCTGGGTTATACT